TACGAATCACGGAAAGCAAAGATAAGAATAGACGATTTTATTGTTGTTTCTGTTAAGCTTTGTTACAAGGATTTTCTGTGTAAAAATGCGGATCTCCCTCAGACAGGGTTTACAATGATATTTATAGAGATCTCCGTAGCTAGGGCTATGCTAACGAGATAAGGGAAGCTTCCTTATTCTTCGAGATTCCCTCTCCGTGGAGTCGGCTATGCGTTATGGACTTTCTCTTCACGGTTTGGTCCACTATCTGACGGCTCGACCATTTCTTCTTAAGGTTGACCCTTAGAGTTAAGGTTAGTTGCGGGTCGGGTTAACCCTTCGGATAAGGTTAGCTGCGGGTCGGGTTACGGTTATCCGCAGGTTTCGTTAAGGTTTTCTGCGGGTTTCCTTAACCCTCCTGTTAAAGTCTTCCGCGAGTTTTCTTAACTCTCCTGTTAAGGTTTTCCGCGCGTTTCGTGTTAAAGTTTTTCGCGGGTTTCCTTAACACTTCCTGTTAAGGTTTTCCGTGGTTTCTTTGTTAAGGTTTTCTGCGGGTGGATATCTCTCGTACTTAGCCAAATTTAGTCATTGATTTTTAGGGGTAGATTTGACCTCTACAACCTCGATTAAGATTAAGTATTATAAAATCCCGACCTGAATTCAGTATATGAGAATCTCCGAATTCCCCTTTTATAAATACCGAACCACTCCTTGGTTCAACACTAACCGAACTAAACAAGGGACTAAACCAAGAATAAACCAAACCAACTGTACATATTATACAAACTGAAATAAATTTGATAACTATAAGATGAATTTAATAATGATGGTGGTGGTGATGATAATAAAAGCCTAAAATGATGATTGTTCTAAGAAAATATCAATTAACAAAAACAAAAAAAAGATTGGCTTCTTGTTATGTAGAAACTAAATTTGTGTATCTTCTTGCTTTAGATGAAAAATAAAGACAAAAAAGGAGAGTTTATCATGATATATAGAGAAAAGAAAAATCGAAAATTAGCCGATGTCGATGAAGGTCTCCTTGAAATCATGTTTTCTACTCCTTCTTTGTATCCATCTTTTTTTCCTCAACTCGAGAGGTTGGATCTGGAAGTAACGGAATCTGATGCTCGTGAGGAGGAAGAGCAGGTGAAGTATGGTCGAGTTGCAGATTACCAATGGTACCAAGAAAAACTGTGACGAAAACGACAAGGATTCGTTGCAAGTTTGTCTCAGCCATTGGGAACACAACGCAAAGGGCCGCGAATAAACATCCTTTGGAAATTCCATGGTCTTCTCTCCACTGCAGAATCGCAAGAAGAATGAGGACGTGAAGATAAGCAGATACGCAAATCACCGGAACGTAGAGATTGCTAACAGATCTGAGCGGCTCGAACACGTGAAGAAGAATACCAAAGAGGCGACGAAATAGCTTGGGTTAAGGAAGCTCCGGACGGTGGTATACTGGATCCGCGCGGGAGGTTGTGGCTCGTTGCGTCTACAATATTTGACGTACAGAGCGACAGAGAAGAGGTAAGCGAGCGCAAAGGGTTGGATCAGGTACAGATTGTCATTGACGGTGGGGACTTCGGTGCACGAGAGACGCACCTCCGAGCTTGTTAACGAAAGCTCCATAGAAGCCGAGAAACTCATCGAACCTATCAAGTAGAGATGCCATTGGAGAAAGAAGAGGAATGAGGAAAATATTTTGATTCGTGACGCTTAGCTCTAACGAGAGAAAGAAGATTGAAAGTAAGCTTCCCTAACCCTAGCCTCTTTATGAGAATAAGGTTAATTGATGAAAGATACTATCTTT